GTGTGTGTGTGTGTACATGTATTATAAATACATTTCACTATTTCACTTAACACATTCCTTTTAGTTTTGCAAATTATTAAAACCACTTGTGGGATAGAGAAGAACAGAAGAAAAAACCCCACAGGTATTGTTGATCGTATGGGCCGTCTTCAAAGTTTACTCTAACGTCTGGATCCAATCATAAGTCAGAGGTAAGGCCTACATGTAACATGGTTGAATGGCACCACTGGAGGGTAGGCCCTTACTTATTTTCTTCCCCTCTGTTTTTTCTGTCTATCTGATTTACCACTTCCCTGCACTACTTGACCGTTATTGTGTCGATGTGCTTCTCTTTCCTCAAACTCAAAACTCAAACATGTCTCCACATTTATTACAGGCAGTCCAACCCCGGCATCACTGCTTTCATGAAGAAAATGGGCTTTGGTGATGATTACACGAAACTGGAGCAGTACTACATGCAGAAGTAAGTCACTGGGCGTACGTTCGTACACAACCGTACAGTTATAATGATAGGCCTGATTGGTAGCAGAATATAGACCCGATCATAATCATCATTCTCATAACAAGAATAATAATATATGGCATTTACGTAGCCTCAACCCCAATTAAAAAGGGCTGGTTCCGAGCGCTTTGCATGTCTACAAAAGCAGCAGCAAAAGTACAGTAGACCTACAATGTGTCCCGTCCAAAGAGGTTATTTGTTATCATGTCTTAAATTTATATCATTTCTCCTAAAAACAGAAATGGCATTAGTCGACTGTTCATGAATTGAAAATATCTGCAGTGTGTTCCATAAAATGCAAATGCTCTTTCATCGATTTTTTAAAGTTTCATTGACATCAATAGAATAGGCTAATTTGTTTTTGTCAGTTAGTGACCTTGAACTGTGAGCTGGAAAAAACCCAGTTTCAACTGATTTGATAAATATACGATTGTGCCCTATCATTCAAGTTCAAGCATTTGTGATATAGAGTGGCGTACTTGTACTGTACATTATTATGTTCTCAACTGTTGGAAATCAGCCTTTAGATACAAGTAATCTTACCAACCCACAAGATCCTTAAAATAAGTAAAAGAAACCAAAAAAAAAAAGAAGGACACGATTTTTTTTCTCTCAGGATTTAGCTTAGTACCAAACCTTGCAACATCATGATCAGTATTATTATTACTTCAATATCCACATGGATTTAAAGGACGAGAATCGCTTCCACGTCTCTATTCCGGTGTTTGCTTTAGACGTTCTTTTATTGTCTTTTTTTAAAACGTGATTTCAATGTTTCAATTGGCTTTCAGGGTGCTTGACATTGTGTCTGGTCTGAAAAAGGGATACATGGTTTGGCAAGAGGTCGTCGACCTTGCAAAGGTACACTGCTTTCTTGTCTTCGTACAATATGTAACAAGTTAGCTAATCGTTTTGTGCGGCTGCATTCTGCCATTCTTATTATGATTTACATGAAGCCGTTATTGTATTTTTGTCCAAGTCCTACCTTAAACCTTGCCTGTTAACAGTACGCTGATGAGCCACACTAAGTACAACCACATGTACATTAGAAATGTCTCATGAGTTTAAAGTCTGAACCTGTCACCGTAATTAGCCTGATGGTAGTTGTAAAGTTCAAAGAGCATGCTGTAAAGCAAGAGTACGCCCATTTTTAATTAAATGATCTTTATTAATCAATCGATTAACGTGTCTTTGGTCAGGACTTGGACATGTGGAGGGTTGTTTGAGAGCACAGATTTACACCGTAAAATACACCGTATTTGACAGTCAAGTTTGAATGCTCAATACGGAACACTGTATGCATTCCTACCTTAGTTTTTTGCTTGGTTCTAACTACAGTCGAAACTGTCTAAGACGGCCGCCCATTGTCGGGTAGAAAAGTGACCTTCGTCTTAGATCGACGTCTTACACAATGTCATTATAAAGTACAAAAATACGCCGTGGAAGAAATGGGAAGTGGTAGTTAGTACAAGTGATTGTTTTACATGTATACAGATGGCCTTAAGAGCAGGTTCACTGTTGTAATAATAATTTCCTTATGTTGGCAGGTAGCTGAAGACACTATTGTGAATGTTTGGAGAGACAAGTGGCAGGACGAGATGGCCAGGGTGACAGGTATGGGCTACAAGACACTCCTCTCCAACTGTTGGTACCTCAACTACATCAGCTATGGTCCCGACTGGAGTACTTACTACAAGTGTGACCCACAAGACTTCCCAGGTGCGTCCCATTGTACTCATGCGTTTGTGTGAGTGTGTGTTGTGTGTGTGTGAGTGTTTGTGAGAGTGTGTACATGTATATATATTTATGTGTGTGCGTGCGTGATGCGCGCCCGTGTGTGTGTGTGTGTGTGTGTGTGTGCGTGCGTGTGTGTGTGTGTGTGTGTGTGTGTGTGTGTGTGTGTGAATATAAGAAAGAGGAGGACGAAAGTGACGCCGAGGAAAGGAGGAGGAGGAGGAATTATTCTGTTACTCTCCGGGAACCTTAATTATGATAAGGAGGAGGGTGTTTAGAGGTAATAACAAAGAGAGCTCCTTTCTCAGGAGGTTTCTGCTCTCATTTCTATATTCTGGCAAGTTTGGGCCTACTGAAGATGGATTTTGCTTTAGAGTGATTACTTTCTGCATTTGTATTCTCGCGTATTCTGCTGTTACATCACACGTAACATGCATTCTGATGTTTTATTTCAGGCACTGCTCAACAGAAAAGTCTTGTTCTTGGAGGGACAACAACAATGTGGGGGGAATATGTTGACGACACAAATCTCATCTCCAGATTTTGGTGAGTTGTACTTGTAGCCTACTTACTTGTAGATTCTACTTGTACAATGTATCACTATCTGGATATCAGTAATTCTATTGAAGTTTTGTTTTCTCGTTGTAAAGTAGAAAGTGAAATGAAAATAGTAGGCTTGTTTTCTATAAGGTGAAAACTTTTATTTCAGTACATGTACATATAAGGCAGTAAAAATTCATAAATTATGCATTATCATCGATTTATTATCTCACTCCGGAAGAGCTTGGGCGTCTGATATTACTGATAACAAAGCCCTCGGTTTTTGTTGGGTTTTTTTTGTTGTTTTGTTTAAGCTAGAATCTAGGTCTGAGCGAATCTTGTAATAGAAAGATAACATAAAATCAATCTAGTTAATCAACATAGACTCAGATTGTGTAGTTGGTGAGTGTAATTAGTATGAAGCACTATATAATGGTAGGCCCTACTCATTTAATCCTCGGTTTCATTCGCCTCTATCAGTATCACTGACCATCCTGGTATTGGTCATGGGCTGACTAGCGTAGCACTCGCGCGGGCTGTTTGAATTTGATTGAATAGCTTACTGATCAAGTTAACATCTGACTTTTTGATGTACTGGGGTTCTCATTAGTGCCTTTATCCTGTGAGCTGAAGGACGAATAATACTATAGATACCGGGTAGATCTAGTAATATTATACATGTACCCATCACACCTCTCTTATTCTTATCGCTGAATTACTCTCTCTCATTTTCATGTCTGTTCTGAAGTGTTCTGGGCGAACTTCTCCAACTCCAGGAGTTATGCCCCATATTAAGCCAGGGATTTGCCTCCAGATCTGGGCCTTCCTCTCTTTCTCCTCACCTGTTGGGGGGAGGGGAGGGGGGGTCCTTCATAGTCATCTTAGCTTTGCTCCTGTTTGCGTCGAGAAAAATTACGAACTTGGTCAGTAATGTAACAAACAAATACATTGCTGTGAATCAGTGTGTTCTCCACGGCTATTTAGACATTTAGTTTTTACAGATACTTAATTGAACACTGCTGTCAATCAGTTGAATCAGTGTGTGTACACCATACATTTAGATCTAGTACATGTATTTAGATCTAGACTTCAATGTAACATTGTTGTAAACCCAAGAGGTATTACATGTATTAGTACATGTACAGGTATATAGAAAAGTCTAGATATAGGCGTACCCACCAATGTCCCACTATTTCGTTTCTGTCGTCAGGCCACGAGCAGCGGCTGTAGGTGAGCGTCTGTGGAGTGACGCCTCTGTCACTGATGTCGGCGAGGCCCAACTGCGTATCGCTGAACACCGATGTCGCATGGTCAAGTAAGTCTTAATACTTAATGTCACTGGACGAAGTATTTTTTTTCTTCTTTTTGGTAAGTGCTTTATGCATTTGCAATTGCATAACTTAATAAGGTCATGTGAGAGCGCGGGACACATTTAACATAGATCTAACATTTTCAGTTAGTAGGAAATTTTGAATTTTGGCTGGGTGGCGGTCGAAGCCTACTCTTATCGATTTTAGACCACCAATTGATGTTTAAGTAGCCTACGTGCGCAACTTGCACGCGGGACCCCCGAGATTGTTTGCCCTTGTCCGAGAAGTAGAAGGCTTGGTGTAGATCTTTCCTACCACTACTACCAGAAAATCAGGGGTGTGGCTGAAAGACAGCAGTTAGGAGGAGCCAAGGAGTAGCAGTAGCAGTAGAAAGGCTGCAGAAAGAGTCAGAAACCCAGAGGAGGGGGCAAAGAAGATGAGGGGATGGGGGCACAAAGTGGAGACGAAAGCAGATAACAGAACGTTGCTAGAGAGAAAGAAAGGGGGTAAAAGGAGACATTGTTTCTATCGCTACCTGGATTCAAACCCGGGACCTTTGAATTAGAGGCAACCACCTTAACCTCTAGGCCACGTGGATGTGCAATGGGACATGCATACGGTACCGTAATTGTGTGGCATGATAGGCGCCTATATATAATATGTAGTGGCATCGTGGTGAAATCAGACGCCTGTCAAAATAATGAAATCAAAATAAAAAAGACCGGCATTTTTCCGCTTGTTGGGCGCATTTTTTAATGCTTTTTTTTCCTCAATACCTTTTAAGGCCATCTAAAAATACATGTCTATCTGGATTTTACTGAAAACCGCTGATCAAAGGTACACCCCAAAAAAGTGCAAATTTGCAGTTTCCAAGGATACTCACACTTTGGAAGTCATCAAACTTGGTGGCCATTTTCTCACTAATTTTACCTCTGACACTAAGCGACCTTTCTTCAAGCACAAATATCTCGACATCTCTTCAAGATAGATGGGTATTCTATTCTTGAAAAGCAAGATAAATCGTAATAAATGATTACGCCTTACTCAATATGATACCAATACATGTAGATATATCTCCATATGTCCAAATGACGAGCGTCTACTGAATCCACCAAATTATGGTGTTCTTTTCTTCTAAAATCTATTCTAAGTCAATAGACCTAAATAAATGAAATCTCATCTTTGAAAGGCGTAACCCGGTACTGATTTAACAATGTCCTTTTCAGAAGATCGAAGATCAGCATGGTAGGCCTACACATTGAGAGCATAACTCTATACTATACATGATGTATTGTCAGTCAGTAGAGAAATGCATGGCTGACATCTCACACTCACAGTAGTGCACTTACTGAATAAAATATGTAAAACATGTTTAATCTTTGAATTTCATATTTATAGTTCAATCCATAACTGAATGAATGTTTTATTGTTTTCGGCTATTGCTTGCTTCTTATTGTTTTGTATTTTTCTCCTTCTACTGAAATATCACTACATGTACAATGGATCACTAGTATCAGGTAGCAAAGCAGTTTTCTCAACACGAGCTGTTGACAGCTCTGGTGAGTGTAGTGTAGTGTAGCACCCCAACAAGGGCTTGTTTTACTCCAACACAACTGATGGTGATTATATATATATATCTTCTTGTTTTCAAAATTGGCAGTAACATTGGAGAAGTGCTCTTCTTGATTCATGTCCATTTTCCCTTATAATTTACCTTCTCTTACAACTCCACTGTGATCAGTCACTAATGTCTAGATCTATCAAACTTTAATACATCGACATGTACATCGTAATTTGTAATTCTTTCCAACCCACATTGCAGACGTGGCTTCAACGCTGAAGAGCTCATAGGACCTGGCTACTGTGATGTGGAGTACTGAACTGACTCTTCCAGTCCAGTCCTGACTGTGACCTCAGCAATTTGGACACATTCCGTGCCACATTAAAAATAAAAATAATGCGTTAATATTGTATCGTCCATAGGTTTGTACATTGTATTATTTTCCACTTGAAGAAAAAATTAATTGATAATGTGTTTAAAACTAGATCTAAACTGCGTTTGTGTGTAATAAAATATAATATGTGGAAAACACTAATAGGACGTTTCTATTGTACTTGTACATTCGGAATGTTGAAACCTGCGTCTTCCATGTGCATGTCGGCCACACATGGGATGACATCTTTTGCTGACAATACACAAGCATGGGTTAAGTGTCCCTGTTAACATTGTTGCGTTATCAAATAACGTCCATCTCCAAAGGACCGAGCCATATGGGTTTTGAGCCTTAAAAACTCCACAAGCTCATGAACGCCAAGTCGGGGAGACTCGCCATAGTTCAGCATGATACCAATTAATGGCTAGCGGAGCGTCCGCGAGACCTACATGTATTTCAGTCTGAATAGCTTGCTGATCAAGTCAGTGTCTGATTTTTTAAAAATGTTAATGATGTATTGGTGTTTTCTGTGAGCAGAGTGACAAATAGATTTAGATACTGCACCCCTCTTATTTTATCATGAAATAACATGTATTCTCACTCTCACGAATGTCTCTGCTCGCTCAGATGGACATGTGGTCGCTTTTAAGGACAAGCGCGCTAACCCAGATTTCGGAGGTTTCCAGAAATCTTGACTTACACCAAAAAATGGGCATTGCCCTGCTTAGGGGAGAAATTTGGTTTCACTGGTGTGTATATATCTGTTTGGTTATAGAGAAAATTCTCCTTGTCTTTTAAAGAAACTGAACCAGGGGCAAAAACTCTACCTTCCATTTTCTCAAAACAGCATTTTACGAGATAGCCCCCTTATGCTTAAAAGCGACCATGTGCAAAGTGTACTTGTGAGTAGAGTCTCTGTTTTCTTTCCTTGTTCATTATTCATCTCACTACTCAAGGCGCTTCTTTGAAACGAACTGCAGTATATGAGTCTACAAGTGTTAAACTCATACATGTAGGTTACATTAACTATGAAAACGTCCCTTTTAGTTTAAGCGGAACAGAGACCATACAAAATGTAACCAGTGCTGGAAATATTCTGTCTACAGAAAAAGAAAGTCTTTTCGGCAGTATGAGTATGAACATGAGTTGTAGTGCATAACCTCACAGCTTTTAGAACAGAGAAATACGTTAAACACAAGACAAGGGGTGTGACGTGTTAGGGAATATATATTCAGTGAACATTCTTGATCACGGTCCAAACACAACATTCAAACCAAATGTAGAACAGGAAATTGGAAATGAGACTGTGTCATGCCAAGCCCAGCACACGGCCTAGAAATGTTTTGCAGCACTTCTTCTTCCACAATGCATGGACTCCAGCTGAAAGAGACAAAGAGTTCGTATAAATCAAAAGTTAGCGTATCCTGAAAAAATGACTTATAAAGAAAGACAATGACTACAACAAAAAGGGACATCTTTAAACTTCTAATAACATACGTACATTCACAAATGCATCTGTGTCCTCGGTAAAGGGAATCACATACCTTAATTCTGTCCGTGCTACAACTTTGTCGTGAACCAAAGGGAAGATCAAGAGGGATTAGCGGTTTGAACATTTGGCACAATGCCCTATAATAAAGTATGTACAAAAAGTTAAGGACCACTTGCAAAAGTGCACGCAAAATAAAAACCAGCAAAGCAAATTATTCCTTCTTTGACAAAAATTCACTTCATCATCCATTATGTGCAAAAAAGAAATTTCGTCACAATAGAAACAAAAATGCGTAATTCCCAGCTCTCAAAAGGGACCCACCCTCAAAATCGAAAATCACAAAAGAAGGGGTCTCAAAAAGTCTCAGCAATATCAAGGAAAAAGACCAGTTTAGGTTTGTGAATGTCAATGGAATTGCCCACCATTCACGGAAAGGCAGTCAAGGCATCCTGACAGGGCAGCGGTATCTACATGAGATTCTTCGACCTCCTGTGGTCGTCCCGGCGGTGCAGCTGATTGGGCTTGCTGCTGTCCTTCACGGCGACAACGCCACGCCGTACTTTCAGTCCAGACCTCACTCCTATTGAATAGTTCTCGGCTGAGCTTGGTCGGAGAGTTCATGAGAACCACCCCTTGCCCGCCAACTAACAGCAGCTGCTAGGATGGCTGTAGCACGAATGGAACAATATTCTGGCACGGCTGATCAACTCTATGCACCAGCGGTGCCTTGACTGCCTAGCCGTGAATGGGAGGCACACGCGCTTCTGAAAATTCCATTGACATTCACGAACTTTTAAACTGGTTGTTTTCTTTGATATTTCTGAGACTTTTTGAGATCCTTTCTTTTGTGATTTTCGATTTTGATACTGGATCCTTTTTGAGCGCTGGGAATCACGCATTTCTGTTTCTATAGTGATGAAATTTCTTTTTTGTACTTACGGATTGATGAATTAAATGTATGACAAAGAAGGTATAGTTTGCTTTGCTGGTTTTTATTTTGCGTCCACTTTTGCAAGAGGTCCTTGACTTTATGTGAAGACTGTATGAGCTTACACAGTGCGGTCAAAAATTCGTGGCACAAGCTGTTGTCAGATATTTCCTAAACTGTCGAACACTCTCCTGGGGGGTTTTTCACAATGACTTGTATCAATTTGTCTTAATAGATCAATATTTTTGTAAACACCTGTAAGCTGTATTTTAGAAAATATTCTTAATAGATTAAATATCATTTTTTAAAATCCAAGTAGGTGGTTTCTACAGATTTTAAAAGGTTTACATTTACAGCTGGGACAATGTCGCTTTTAAAAGCAAGTCTGACATGTTTTCCTTATCGTAACACTATGCTTATTGAACGCAGGTTTTGAGAACCTTTAGTGCAAACAGAGTGTTCAGAGTTCACTAATAAATTTTGCCACTAAAAAGTGCCATTGGTGAGCTGTGATTTAGGCCATATGCGTATGCAAAATGTGTCCGAGAAGCGGGAATTGCTGTGAACTATCCCCTTTTCTGTATGGCGAAGATTTGTAATATTTTATGTAAATTTTTTGAAGAAAATTTTTTAATCAAGCCTCAATAATTGTTTTGGAAAAATATGACTAAGTTAAGACGAATTGATACAAACTGCTGTGCAATGTGCAGATTGCGGGTAACATTGATTCACCTGCTAAAGAGAAATTGGAGGATAAATTGCGCCACGAATTTTTTACCACACTATACCACATGTATAGAGAGGAAGAGTTCAATGGCAGTACACGGCAGCACATTTTGAAAGCGGTCACAAATCAGTCCAAATCTCCAGTTTTAAAGCAGCCCTCAAGAACAAGCAAAGTTCACTGTCACAATAAAAAACAAGTAATGTCAAGGTCTTTTACCTACGAATTAATAAAATTTGAAACCCGTAAAATAGGGATCAATACATGTAAAATGCAGGGTGATTGACGAGGAACACGAACCCCCCCCCCCAACCACCACTTTTTTTTCTTGTCTAAGTAACTTTAGTAACAGTAACTACTTTCCTTCACAATGATGTATGTTAGAGACAAGCCTGCAAATCAATGAATTTTTAATTAAATTAAATAGAAAACGATTTAGATTATACTTATACACAAGTACATGTACCGACATAATCTAGAAGTATTTCACATACATGTAATAGATTTAAGTCTACAACTAACTAGAAATTTCTTAATTTGTTAGTACGTTGACCCTTTTTCTGTTAACGTGTGTAATTATAATGACTGAATGGTTTGCAAATCAGACGTAATTTCCACTGTGACTATTGACAGCATCGGAATGGGACCAGACTGACAGGCTATGTCGTAACTGATGTCAAAAGTGTATTTGTGTAATAGGCATTGTACAGTTTAAAGGCCTCACAAATTGAACCGGACAGTTCTCAATAACACCGAAAAACAGTGTGAAACACATTCTGAAACATGATAAATATAAAACAAATAGAGCCATACCACCGTGTTTTCACATACTCTTTATCTATCACGAGTACCTCTCGAGGGTTTTAAAACGTGTGTGTATCAGCGTGTAATCTAGACTGCACTGAAGTGTATTGATCACAATCCACTTCTGGTTACATGTGGGGGGGGGGGGTGTGGACTCTTATCTATGTAGATTTATCTCACTCCCAAACCCTCTCATTTGAGCGCTTCTTGATGAAGAATGTATACAGTTGACAGGCTTCACTTAGTAAAGGCTTACATAATATAGACATTGCACTATGACACTTCGCAGTGGGATAGTGTATGAGAACACATGATATAAATAAGATACTATACTGACCCCAAAGAAAGCGTGGTGAATTTATTCCTCTTCCTCATCCACGTCTTCCCAGCAAATGGTTTTAGCCAGCTGTTGAGGGCTCCGAGATTCATCTCCTGGTTGTGCCAGCCACAAAACTCTCCTGTATATCAGGAAGGGGGCGGTGAGTGCGCTGCCCCAGAAGATAGCAAATCCAATGGTTGTTTTATACTTGCAGCCAATCCCAAAAGGTAAATTCTGAAGACAGAGAGGGTAAAAATGACCAATGAATTTATACAAATGATTTTTAACAGATCTAGATCTACATGTATATTCGTCATTTAGAACATGCTTTTCATTCATTTCACTGAACAAGCAGTTATATAAATTTGCCTTTCGAATTTGAATTCCATGCATCCATGGGCACATAACAAGGCCGCGTCAGAGATAGGAAGCATACTGATACTTATTATAATAGTATAAGTTTATGTCAACAAGTCAGATACCCTTATCCTTATCAACATCGCGATATTTGGAAGTGGGTACGTAGAACTGGGTAGAGATCTAGATTCTATAACACTAAAACCCTAATTGCCGCATTTTCCCTAGATCTAAATCTAGATCTATCTTAAAATGAACGCGTGTAATGTGTTCTTTCGTTTCCAAAACAATCTAATATCTAGATGACGGGGGGGGGGGGGGGGAATGCAATTTCTGTTTTCATCATCATATCTTACCGAGCCTGGTATGCCCTGCTGCTGGAAATCTTGATGGGACATTCTTTTTGGCTGTGTTGTTGAAAATGGCCTTTTGCATATTTGAGAACCTTTCGATATTCTTGAAAGGGACAAAAACGCCCTGCGTAAGATTTTGAACGTCATTGTGCTTTGGTTGAACACTCTGTGTCTTTCCAAAATGGTTGGAATAGATCTACTGTAACCTACACAAGATTGTAGAAGATCTATACACTGACTGAACCTGACCGTTGCACAAAAGTGCAAAGTGCAAACTAACTTAGGCCTACTTTTCAAGCAAAAAGGCGGTTCAAAGTTTCAACTTCCTGTCTTCCAATCGTGGAGACAACCTGGCATATGGCCTAATAAAACTAGGTCTAGCATCTGACAGTGACATCTGCGTTTGTTGCCATTTTTTGGTCCAAAAGTTTCCAAAAGTTGCCACAAAAAATGGAAAAAGTTGCCATAGATATTCTAGATCTAGAGTCTAAATTTTCGAGCTTTCAACTCTTTGTGACAACGTAGGCCTTTAGCAATATGTTGATTGAGGTAACTTAAATCTAAAGCACTAGAATTTCTTGTGCTCTGCTTTAGTTTTAAGCATCCAGAATATTATTTGTAGCCAAACAGAGAGTAAAAACGTGGAAATTAAAGGTTTCACAATAAAATTAATTAATAACTAGAACAGCACATAAACAACCACAAAAATTAACAAATGAGGGTGTGTGTCCTATCCGAAGATTGGCTGTTTTAACCCTAAACGTGTGTAGTTCAAGAAAAGTACAGGATATTACATCTACATAATTATGGAATCACACGACACATTAAGGGGCCTGCCACTAATTAGGCCTACTACCAGTGTCAGTATTCGGTTTTGGTGGAGACTCGCTCTAACATAACACTTTAAAAAAAAAGATAGGAACAACATCAAATTAAATTACAATACGCTATATAAACAAAACTATATAGATCTAGACCGAAGCGCCTCGACTAGTCCTATGTTGTATATGCCTATTATCCTGGTCTTTTCCCCATCATTCGTTCACGTTTCCTATCTTGTACAAGGCCTAGCCTAGCCTAGGCCTACTATCCGCGTGAGAACAAGATGTTCAACGACTTTATGTCGATTCAAGTACCCTTTAATTTTTTACAGTCAGTTTGGGAGAAAAAAAAGAAGGAAGTTGTTAGGCACGTGTACGCCCGCATAACACTGGATTGTTAGGGGCACGTATTTTCAAAGTCAAGGCCGTTCGGTGTTCCCAAAAGTCAAGGCGTTCGGCGGTTCGTTTCCCATTCATTTCACCAGCGTGCTTGGTCAAGCAAAGGTGGATTGGGATTGAGACTCGTAAACTTGTGACTTGATCTAGATCTAGATCTATTCTAAATTTTCTAGATCTCTGTTTGTCGGGAGGGAGGGAGAGAGAGTGTATTTCTGAATGAAAAAAGACAGATACAGAGA